CGTATTCAATTTGTTGAGATTGTTTGTGATAGAAGAAAGGGTTTATTTTGTACTTTAAGATTCGATCCAAAATATAGAAAGGCAAAAAATGAAACAGAAAGAAAAGAATTTTGGGAGAAAAGCAAAAGATTAATGAATGGAAATTTAGTTTGTTTATTATTACCTAATCCATCAAATAAAGGATATTCTCTTTATTTTGGTGTAGTAATTTCGAGAGACGATAAATCTTTAGCCAAAAGTGCTAATTATGCTGAGATCGGTATTAATTTTATGGATCCCTCAATTTATACTGTTGCATTGGCCGAAATTTCTAAATCTGATCAAATCTCGTTGGAAAATAGATTTATGGTGGAATCAACCGGTGTTTATTTAGAAGCATATTATCATATCCTTAAAATTATTCAAACTATGAATCCTTTTACTTTTCCCTTTGAAAAATATTTTGCTCCGAATTTACAAGATCAAAAAAGAAAAAATAAGCAAGGTTTTGATGTTTCTGATGATAAAGTTGATCCTCCTATGTATGCTAGAGCTCCTGGATTCCGGTTTGATTTATCTTCCATATGTAATGATAAGCAGGTAAGATTGAATGTTGCCGATACAGGTTCTTATGACTTTACAGCGAGATATATCAACAAGTATGGAAAATTAGATCAAACTCAAGGTAAATAATATAACCAAGGAAAATTAGAGAGATGTATCATAAAAATAATTATATTCATTTTCTATTTCTTAATATAATATTTTAGCGAAAGCTTTGATTTCTGCTTTAACACGTGAAGTAGCATTAATCGAAGGACCGCCAGGCACAGGAAAAACCGTAGTTGGTATTGAAATCATGAAAGTCTTATTGGCACAACAAAATTCAAATACTAGACTTGGCCCTATTCTCACCGTTTGTTTTACTAATCATGCTCTTGATCAATTCTTGGAGGTAATATCTATATTAAATTTTAATTCATCAAATGTAATTAAATTATTTTAATGATAATTTTTTTTTTTAGCACTTACTTGATGATAATATTACAACGAATTTAGTTCGAATAGGCTCAAGAACAAAATCCGAAAAGGTTAAACCTTTTAATCTGGAAGAAATTTGTAAAAATCGAAAACGAAAAGGAAATTATTTGGTAGCAAG